CGAGCTATACACTGTGGTCTTTTTACCTCTCAGACAATTTGCATTTCATAATTGTGTTATGAAGAGAGTACATAGTGTGCTACCAACACATAGTTTCTTAGGTCATCCTATGGGTCACACTATGTTCTGCTGTGATCCTGAAGCATGAAGCACAGTTTATGTACTAATAAAATGATGGAATGGTATATTTAGGCATTTGTAGGAAGTTCAAATGAGATGGTTCCAACCTGTATTAAAGTGGGTAATGTTCAGATAGAATGTGTTTTATTGTCTCACTTCTCCCTGCTAGTAAACAAGAAAATTAGTATTTTTATAACTGTAAAAATCAAGGAATGTCTAAGTTCCTTAGAAATTACAGCTTAGGGTACTAGAGGTGGTATGAGAGCTCTTTGTAACTCTTGGTTTGTAATTTCTGTGGATTTAGTACTTGTATTTTTACATATAGTTAATGATATCAGTTCTTAGCAAACAACTGAAACTTATAATCTTGGTCAAAACTAGTATGCATGGATATTCTACCAATGCCTTTTCACTGTTCTCATGTTCTGTCTTTATTCAATAACAGAAATGCCTTTTTTTTCTGTAGGAAAGGCTCTGCCCAAAATCCTGATGTCCCACAGATGCCAAAAGAAGTTGTACCTAAATGTCTGTAACAATTATAAGCAAAGACCTTAGGATTTGTGTGTTACTTACTTTCATTTTACATTCCTCTCTTTAGACTATCAAAATGTCCTCATTTTTTTCCTTCCCTAGTTGAGAGGCATCGCCTTTTACTTTTCTGAAACTGAAAAAAGAAAAAATGTGTTGAAGTAATATTAAGTGGAGAAAAAGAGCTCTTTTGTTCTGTTAGGAAGTTCTAACTGAACCTCTTTAGTCACAGCTATGAGAAACCTGGCTGAAGTTTGAAAACTGAGATGCCACTGCTAAATTGACTAGACGGCTATAACGGTTACATTTGACTGAAAAAACACTTCTGAAAATACTCCCTGGACATCTGTCAAGAAGCACCTCCTCACTCATGATCTCACATAGGAAATGGGAAGGGCATACATTATTTATCTGCTGAGTTTGATAAAGCCAAGACTGAAAAAGTGATTGTATAAAGAAGATTGCAAGTGCCTTGTTGCTATGTTCAGAACAAATTTCTCCCCAAAATTGTTGCCTTATCCTGAGGGGATGGGAGGATAACTCCTGCAGGAGCTAAGTGCGGTTAGTCAGATGCTGGACTACTCAGTGAGTATTTAAAAGGTCAGTATGCAGAAGAAGCAGTGTGGTTAGAATATCACTTTGGCTTCATTGTTCTGCCTGTATATTCTGTGAAAGCAATGTATGTAGGACATGAGGGAACAAACACATACCACAAAATCTACACTGCAGCGGACAGGGAGTGGTAATGCCTTGTTTGCAGGTGCAGTTGCTCCATGTTTACAAGGCCCTTTGGCAACATTTCACTTGTAGGGAACAGATTTACTTGATTTTTTTTGTGTATGACATTTTTGGTTTAATTTTGAACTCCACTCATTTACCACAGAAATTCCATATCACAATTACTCTGTTCCAGTTCCCAAAATTAATTAGCCAGTGACATAGCCAGTAGGTCCCAGCTGAAGAAGCCACTGTCACAATACAATCGGATGACTTGGCCCAGAGCTTTGAAAATCTTGAATAGCTGAACCAGCCTATTTTATAGTGAATAGTTTGTAAAAACCTTTGGCCCATGAAAAACAGAGTTTTCTTATGTTGTTTTCACTCCTATTTTGTATGTTATTTTCACTGGAACTATATTTGAACTTGTGACTGCCCTTTAATTGATATATATGTGCTTGGCTGAACATGGCAGCCTATCAAAGGAAGAAAGAACACTGTAGTCAGTGGCAACTTTCACCATCGTCTAGAAGGAGGCAAAGCTCCGTGGTAGTTTTCACCATCTTCTGGAAGGAGGCAAAGCTTAGTTGCTGGGAAACGGCAAAGGTAATCCTCCATCGTTCCACAGCTGTTGTTCTGAAGGAAATGAGTACGTCTTGTGGGTACTACGAATTATAAAAATAAACTTGGACAACCACAAAAAAGGATTAAAAATGAAATGCAGCCTGACTCCTGTTTCGTTTTCCTGTTGGAGGTACACAGCTCACTGTCTGTGTCGGTGTTACCTAACCACAAATTGCCTTCTCATCTTCTGCAAGCTGCATTGCTGTCAAACGATAGTGATGACCCAGCCACACTGTCTAAAGATGTCAGGGGAAGAGAAAAACCAGACTCCTACAAGTGACATAGCGAATATTCCTTTCCTGTTACAAATTCCACATAAAATCTAAGTAATTACTTGGCTGCAGTGATACTTAGTCTACAGGACAATGCGTTTACAGGCATTTAGGAACAGCAGTTAACAATAATACTTGCATATGGGTTTGATATCTTGTGTTGTTAAAACAAATCAGCAAGTCTAGACTGTAATTTGCTGAAGCAATTTATGGTTATTTCATGGCTTTTTTTCTCCAAGTAGAGGTGAATACATTCTACTATCTCAAGACGAAAGATGGTAGTGCACATTCTTTTCGTTTTAACTGTAAGACTGATCTGAAACAGAAGGATTAACATCCTGATTTTCATACCACATTAAAAACTGCCCTAAACTATTTGTGCTTTATTCCACTATGATTTTCAAATATTTTGGGAACTGCTGATTAATTGTGAAAAAACACTGCTGCGGCCATTTCTTCACAAATTAGTAAGCTGAGACTGTCAATATAATAAGTCAGTAGCAGAGCAGGGAGCAAGGACCCATGTGGGAAACCCTCAGCTGCCTTATATTGTTACTGAAGTCATCAAAGTATAACAGCTGACAGTCATTGAGGGTTCCCATTAGCTTTTCAATGCTGGGCTCCTGCTCCACTAGCAAGGCAAAACAAATGCTTTTTTGTATTTCTGGAAACATTGCAACATTGCTTTATGACAGACTTGCCAATACTTTTCTTCTAGGTGAGCAAGTACTTGCAGGCAATTTTTTCACCCTATTTTCCAACCTTATTGCAAGTCTGATACAGCATCAAAATCTGTATAACACAAGAAGACACTGGACTCGTTCTGCTTAGATATGATTGCATTTCTGAAGAATGTAACATGATATACAGATAAATAAACAAAAAACCCCCCAGGCTTTCCAGAGCTAAGAAATACTTTCCCAGTGAGAGCTTGATTTCCTTGTACCTTTCAGCCAGAAAAACCAGTCCCCAGTCCTACAAGGCTGCTGCCAGGCTCTCCTCTGTGGTACACCCTGGCGCCAAGTTCCCACATGGATGAAACTGTTCCCAGGTAAGGGACCCAAAGGGGCTCTGAGATTTGCAGCGAACTTTACAAAGCCGTCTCCCATCTGTCTGTTCTCTAAAAGGGAAGCTCCTTGAAGAGTGTGGACCACGGCTTCAGGTCAATCACCAGCAAATGAGCACACTTAGCAATAAAAGAAAATGGATTTATACAGATTAGCCATTAGATGACTATGAATCAGAGGAAAAATTAGGTCATGCCTTTGTTATAAAGTTTTGTAAAGAAAAAGCGGGAATTTAGCCAACAGAAACCTTTTCATTTGCATGGACATCTATGCCTTCCAAAGCTAATCAGTTATTACATTGAAGGTCTTTATGAACATGATGGAGTCTTGTACTGTATTACTATCTTTTTTCTTTATTTTTTTTATGCTTATGTAGATGTATATGAATTACATTCTCATAACATAATGTTTAGGTAATTGACTTGGTTTATTGCAATTGTCATACTGACAGATAGACTTTGAAAGAACAAATGCATTTACTGTTCCTAGAAATCATCAGATTATGAATTTACATGTATTTTTGTTAAGAAGGTAGAATGTCCATCATCCTCTATTAGTACAAAGTGGAATAACTCCACTGAAGTCAGTGATTTGCTACAGTATCCTGTTTTCATTAAAAGTAGAGGTGTGTTATGAAAGACATAACTATATACTCATTGCTTGTTAACCTTAACTAATACCCAAGCTCCTAGATGTCCATCTCACATTTTCCAGCGGCTCCTAATTTCTGTGCTTCAGACGAGCATAAATGCATCATTTTGTGGTAGGAAATTAAAGAGTTGCTGTTTTACAGAGCACTACATGAGCATCTTACAGCATTGTACTGACCATAACTAATTGAACCTTTGAACCTTCCAGGACATGGGAGAAGGATTGGACTTCTGTTCCAAATAGACTGCAGTTTGTAACAAGCCACCTCATTTCAAATTATTGCTCTTCTGACATTATTATACTTTGGGCTGTGTTTGGTTTTATTTTGTATTGCCCATATGGAATGCAGTTTCTCTGTAACTTAATCCTTAAAACATCAGTTCTAAGAAAAGATCCTCCTTCACGTAAGAGATATGTGTGTTTATCAAGGTTATTAAGAAGCAGACAAGATTCTACAGGCTGGCACTTAGAATTCACTAAGTGGGTAAAAAAGCCTGGTTTTATGATCTAAAAAGGCCATAGAAAGACAGGCATGAAACTATGTGATTGTATTGGGGCTATCTACAAGTATTAGCTGAATATCTGTCCCCTACTTGTTCAGAGAGATGTGCCAGGTTATTAAATTGACAATCATAAGTGAAAAATGTCCTGGGGCTCACACTGGTGTTTGTAGGAGGCCTCTGCCCCTGTAAGATGTTTTTGAAATTTCCATGTGCCATTCCAGGATGTGTGTCATGGCCTCTTCTGAGAAGAATGAAGTCACTTGGCCTTTGGCCTCATGACTTCCAGCACACTCCAGGAAAGTAGTTTCTCACCAGGAGCCATAGCTACAATGTCTTCTTCTTCAATTACCCTCCTAGCTGTGCCAGACTATATTAACCCTTACTAAGCACATATGCTGCCACGGTCCCTTGGGTGCCTACGCTAGGGAAATCTTTGGAAAGGCTTATTGCAGTATCTGTTGTAACAGGGAACTGCAGCAGGAGTGATTTCAGTCTCTCCAGTAAACAGTTCGTGCATAGAATCTGATTTATTCTTTTGCCTTTCAACATCTTTTCTCTAACACAGAAAGTTTTAAAATGGTATAAAAATCAACTAAATACAAAGTCCCTACAGTCAAATCAGATCTAATCCTCTCATATTCCTTTTCTCCTATGACTTCTGTCAACAGTTTGCTCTTCAGTGCAGGATGATGGTGCTGGAATGTGACTGTGACACCACAACCACTGACAGTCTGATCAGACCAAAGCTGTTACTGTCACGGGCAGGGTAGATCTGGGCTCAGCAGGGATATGTATTTAACCCCCCTGAGCCCTGTGCCAGATGGGAAGGTAAAATGAGTCTTTCAGATCACCCTAGGGTCCTCCCAGCAAGCACTCACATTTCTCTGTATATGGCAATCACTATATCTGGCAAGAAGCCATGTATTTAAACAAATATTTCTAACTAGACCCTTGACTCTTACCACTATATTAAAGGGCTAAAGGTATTAGATTTGTGGATGTGTTCAGACAAATATTTTACGTGGTATTTTTTTTCATACTCCTAAACATTTCTGACAGTGTCTTTCATGATCTCCAGTCCAAAGGTTTTTCCAAGGTGTCATCTTCTGCTGTTTTCTCTGCTAAATCATGTAGAAGATCAGAGAGAATTTATTTTCTAAGAATTTGAAAAGCTAGCTAATACAAACCCAGAAATACTGATTCATGAGCATCCCCACATAACACAGGACTTCTTTTTATTCCACTTTCACTAATTAGTGTGAAAAATTACCACTGTAAAACAATGCATTTGTATCTAGCTTTACTGGAACGGGTTCCCCAGGGAAGTGGTCACAGCACCAAGCCTGACAGAGTTCAAGAAGTGTCTGGATGACACTCTCAGGCACATGGTGTGACTCTTGGGGATGCTCCTGTGCAGGGCCAGGAGTTGCACTCAGTGATCCTTGTGGGTCCCTTCCAACTCAGCATATTCTGTGATTCTGTGATTCTGTGAATTGGCACTGATGTAAATGCAGAACAACTATATTGAATTGAATTTTCTCCTGATTTTCACCAGTGTGAAAACATGATTGGCCTGTCCTTTTTCTCAGAGCCCTTACCTTTCATCTGGAAATCAATCATTGCTCCAGATGAAATGACGTTTGACTAATGACAGGAAACCAGTATCAGAAAACCAGCTTATAACATACCACACACAATACACATAGCAGTCAGGCAAGACTAAGGGATTACAGAAACCCTACTATTTATCAGTGCTTAAAACCTATGTACAGCTTTTACCAGGGGAGAAAATGGAGAAAGAATTATAAATTTTTCACAGTAGGTCTAACTACTTGCAAGAAGGTATTTTAAAACACTTTACTGAGGGTGCGCTCATTTCATCTGCTGCTGCTGTCCATCCCTGTCCTGAGTTTTCTGGTACATGGGTCTTGGCTGAGAATGGCCCTCTCTCTTCTCACAAACCACACCAAAAGACCATGAGCTGTAGCACAACTATCTTAGACACTTTTCTTCTCAAAACACTTTTTTCAAAGTAAATACAATTGACAATCATAAAGTAACAAGCTCCATTTGCAGCTGTAACTGAACAGTGTTATATTACATATTGGATCCTGGAACCAAGTATTTGGTGGGAGAGGACCAGACCCTCCTGGGTACTGCAGCCATGCTGGATTGCACTGAGCCATAAACTAACCTGGCCACTCCAAAGTTCATATTAAGCAATACTGGAAACTGGTCATGAGTTATTCTGAACCTATTGCTGTGGTAGTCATGAGAATACTGCTGGAGAAAAGAACACCCAGCAGAAGAGTTGGAACCCATGATATAAGACATCTCCTATCCTTCTCTATGAACATGGTTCTTCAGCTGCTTTAGACTTGTCTTGAACTCCATGATGAGGCAATGCTTAGTCCTTCAGTTGGAAATAGCATTTTCCTTGTTCCTAAGAGTTTCACTGGGAAGCAATCACTCAACCCACCTCTGCCCGTTAGAGCCACAGTGAGCTGCTCATGTACCTCCAGCTTAGGGTCTGGCTCCACAAATGGTGATTCCAGAGCTTGCTTTCTTAAATCTCCGTTCCTGGTCTCAGTCTCTGCCTCACGAAGCATTTGGCTGAGCTCAAGTACATTAAGATGGTATTGCACAAACTTCCCTCTGCATGGTGTGCACACAGCAAAGACCCAACAGGGGAAGGAAAATGGGAGATGTCTGTGCCATGTCTTACAGGCTTTGTAGATAAAAAGTATCAACTCTAGCATTCAAAGGGGAAGAATTTTTTGTATGTCATTCTGTGGTTGTAAAACAAGATATTCTTTGAATTCTTTGGCAGATCCTTCAAGCCTGATTGGAGAAAGGCAGACACTGGGCCTCTTGGAGGGAGTTCTGTGTTATTCTGGTACTCCCCAAAGTAATGCTGAGTTGAAAAAGAGTGGACCAGCCAGCTGGCTTCTGGTTGACACCAGAAGAGTGATGAGGGGGAGAGGGACAATAAACTGAATGCAGACTACACACAACACATCAGAAACATGAAGCAGGAGGACCAGAGAGAGCTGTGTGAGCGCCTGCTCTCTGAAAGACTTTAAATACTGGTATAATCCCCATCAGATTTTTGGTTCATGTTTCCACGACCTGAAGCTACCAAAATTTTTTCTATTTACATAATGCAAGATTTGCAGGGTATTCAGCAACACATCCCACGGTCCACCCTACAATATCTGTATAGATATGACATAAGTGCAGCTCTTCAACATAGTCTTATGCTGGTAAGTTTGCCTAATCAAGGTAGGTTGTCACAATATTAATGTTTTAACCAATGTGATAAGTTTCTGGGAAGGTAGAAAGTGATTTTAGTAGATGACTGAAGAAATAATCCTACTTAGGATACAGTTTTTGCAATAGGAATAGAAGAAATAAACATAATGTGATACCAGAACCAAGAGAAAAGGAGTATATAACAATGCCAAAATTATAAAAAAGAGAGGAGAAAGACATTTTTGGGAAAGACAGTCCTTTACATAAATACTTCAGTTGAGTTGGTAAATGGAAAGAGTTCCACTGATCTTGTTTACTGTTCCATCAATCCATTAGATATTTCTGTAGTGCTGTTTGTTTCTTTAATTTGACATTACCACTTGTATGTCTTGTGAAATACCATTTGAATGCCAGGGCAACTGAGATTTTGGAACACACTGTTGACAGCTGTTTTGGAACTACAAATATGATGTGTGCTACATCTGGTGAGTCTGGAGTGAAAAAATACAGTGGAAAAGCACAATTTCTCATTTGGAGCTGCTGTAAAGGGTTTACAATATCCAAGTCCCTTACTCAGTAAAGGAACTGTTTAATGACCTACCCATAGAGATAGTCTTTTATAATCAGTACAGAGATTGATTTGAGTATTTCTGCAAAGCTGGTCCATTCTTTCTAACTAGGAAAATTGACATAGAACATGAAAGAGAGATGCTTAAACGCGTGACTAAATTAAATCAGTGAATCAATAAATGATCTAAAAATATTTTGTCATTAATTTTCATGACACAGCCATGACTATGCCAAGCAAGGCATCATGTGCACTCAAGCCTAATAAAGTCTCATACCTATGACTCACTGGCAGAAGTAGCAGCTGGCCTCCTGGAGGCTGCAATGAATAATCAAGGGATTTTTTGGTGTCAGGCTAACATTGTAGACACTACCAAGTAAAAGAGAGTGAAACCAAAAATAATGTACTTTAAAAAGTTAGAAGCATAACAGCCAGGTGAGCAGTGTTATCTCTGCCAGCTCCAGAACTGACTATTCTTCAAAGTGAATTTTGGTGTGTGTATATGTGGGTGATCTAGATGTCTGCACTGATCTGCTCTTCTCCTAGTCCTGTTATTTTACCAAGAGAAAAGTCATCCCTAGAAAGAAAGACTAAACTAGCAACAGAAGAGACTGGCATGCACTCTACACTGCTTCTTTTTCCCTTTCTTTCTTTAAACAGAGGTGGAGGTATCAGACTGTAGAATAGGAATGTCAGACACACTGATGTTACTCTGGCTCCCTGAACTGATTTGGAGTGAGAGCTTCAGTATAGGTGAGAACTTCAGTATAGGTGGGTACTTGGCACTCAGAAGACAGTGCCCTCAGTACTTACAGGAATCTAATGAGGAGCTGGAGAAATCACAAGGTCATCTGTTAATTCAGACACAAATTTTCCTTTCAATTTATGTTTCAGATGGCAAATTTTTCTCAAGACTTAATGTACAGGACCATGAGAGCAACTGATAGAGCTAACAATAATTATTTTTTTTTTCCAATTAAAAATGTGCAGTGATATTTTAAATGTCAAAAAAATTATAATTCAGGCTTTCATTGTATTATTATACCATGCTGAAGCTAACAGTTTTCCATTACTCCCTGAATAATATGTAATAATGATTTGAATAATATGTAATAATGATTTAGTGCACAGAATAAAAAAAACACTAAATATTCATATTGAACCACAGAAGTTCTTGAAACCATATAACATCTGGGTGCAGAGAAAACCCTAGACCACCCAACCATTGTTTGGCCATTGATTCTGCAAGTAAAACCTCACTAGCTCCTACAAGTTTGAAATACTACACAGTCTCTCAAACCTATTCTGGATGGGGGAAAACAGAAAATTAACATTTCATAGAGGTAAAATTGTAATTTAAACTTTCTCTGATATTAATGTGAATAAGAAGAAAGGTTTCTTAAATATAAGAGAACAATCAGGAATGTACAGGTCTCTCATCTAACAAACAATAACTTTTTTATGGTCAAGTTTTCTCTTCTTAAGAGAAAAATGGAGCTGACTAAGTAGCTTTGATATTTTCTTCGTTTTCTTTTCCTAACAGTAGCTTTCACTTCATGTAAAATCATTCTGTGGCTGATATTCAAATCCTTTAAATATGTAATTTTCCCAAAAGCTAAAGTCAAGTTCTTTTTCTACTTCTTTAATATAGATTGATTAGATTGAGTGTCAGAACTCAACAAAGACCATCTAATGATGGAGCTTGCTTCAGGAAAGTGAGTACTTCAACAACAACACTAATGTTTTATTTCAGATGGAGAAAGTCTTTCTTTTGAGGTTGCACATTTCTGTGTACTGCAATGATCTGGATGGGATTTAACCCCAAAAATCTAAACACTTACATTTTGTACTTCTATTTGCTACAGGGCCTTCAACAAGGAGTTGTAGTGCTCTCAGGCTGTCCTAGGCTCTACTGAACCTCTCAAAATATGACAGCAGGGGAAGTTTATTTTGATGAGCACCTGTTCTTAGTTGGCTGATTTTGGCAAGGATTCCTGCATTTCCATGATACAATCCCACTGGCTTCAAATGAAAATACAGCCTTGAAACTGGAATTGAAGAATGAGTACGATGCTGTGCTTGAACAAGAATATGCTCTGTTGCAGGCACAGAAGGAAGCACTCAATAGGAATCACCACTTTAAGCACAATGGTGAAGACAAGTCTGGATTTTCTGTAATGACCATCACCAAATCTTCTAAGTGCATCCCAAGTGCATTCCTAACTGGCTTTATCAAATGTTCTATTCTTCCTTCCAGACCCTGTTAAGCTTCACTGTCCTGGGCACTGATGTGTGCTGAAGAAAAAAGGGGCATCTTGATGCCAGATCCTCTGCTCAAAAGGGGATTTGTGGAACTGTGCAGAGTTGGGGAACACTCCATCCACCTTGAATAATATGGTACAGTGAGGTCAGACTGTTGTTATGTGGCACAATACAGCCTTGAAGAAGGATATAGTGCGGACATGAATGATTCTCAGCTCCCCACCGACCCCGCTTTTGCTTCAGAGATGTATTCAGTATTCAAGGCTGGCACTCAGTTCATTGGAAGCACTCTGTCTCCAAAACCCAGAAGGCTGAAAATATTTAGGAAAGAATCAAGGAAATGTCAATAACTAAAGCAGTCACCTTTCCAGCCAATCCTATCACCTTCTCACACATTATAACATACCCATGATACTTTTAGTTTAGGAGGAACATTCTGGATTGATAAATAGAAATCAGAAATATGTGGGAAGTACTACTCTCAGGAATGTGTTGCTGGTGGAAGGTCTGCATTTCCAAAAATGCATCACTCCTTGAAGGCTACAGTGTGTAGAAGAACTTGGGCACCTTTATTTTTGAAATATGCAAGTGTAAAAAGTGAATTTCTACTTTGCTCTGAAATTAGGCAACATTGATTGTGTTTTTATAATGTCATTACAAATTTAAGATTTCTCGTAACTATAAGAATGTACTAGTTTTATGTGACACAAATGTGTGCATTAAGAAATTTTGGCTGGACAGAACATGAAATCAATCATATTAGGATCATCCTTTTCCCAGAACAAAAATGTCAACCAACCAAGTTTAAAAAACCAATTTGCCAACTCCCTTCCCTTCTACTCTACTTCTTTAAGACATACTGCATCTTAATTAGACTTGATTTTTTGGGGGTTGATAGTATTACCATTTTAGCAATTCTCCAGTCATCCACAAAGTTTGTTATGAAGTCTAGATTCAACTTTACATTGACATACAGTAAAATTAAACAAAAGTACATCTTAAAAATTAGAAGAAAATGAGACAGAGAATATACACCTTTTGGCTGCCATTTCAGGGTAGTATAGGCAATGTTCAGGAGTTCTCTAATGTAATACTTAATTTGGTTTTATTTAACTTATTCTGTAGTATCACAAAATGTGCCATAGTCTTTGGCTTTGGTTTTGCAACAGCATCTGGCTGAGTAGATTCTTATGAAGTCCCCTTCCTGAGTGAGAGCTTAGATATTGTAAATCTATCCCAGTCATCCCTAAAGAGAAACTGGACTTTTTGACTGTCTGCACTCAAACCTCAGCACCTCCAGACGTAGCACGCATCTCAGCCTTCACTTCAAAACAGCTGTCAAGAATGTGTGCCAGACTTTCAGCTGTCATGCCATACAGTCAGGATCCCACACAGCATACAAATGGTAAAGTAGAATTAAATAATGGTACATGATACCAGAAGAAAAATGCAATAGAGTTACAAAATGGTAGTGGTCATGCTCACTGACTTTACAAGAGTCAAAATTTTTCTGCTGGAGTGAGTTTAATACCAGAGAGTTCTAAAAGTCATGAGTTTAAGATGTAGCTGCATTTGTCGAGAGAATATCTGCCTAACATATTTTTAAGAAAGGTGTCTTAAAATTTATCTGGACAAAATACCCCTTCCCTTTAATTTAGCTGTTATTTACTGTTCATGTAAAGCTCTTCTGTTCATGACTGATGAAGCATAGTGTGTAACTTGCAGCCTCCACACTGTGGTGTAGAAAAACCCTCTGAAACTACCTTTATATAAAATTTGGAATGATTTCATCAATTACTAACACTCTTCCTCAATATAAGTAGAACTTTAGTTAGTAACGTACTTGACGAGGCAGATTAAGCTGACTACTTTCATTAGTCAGACATACAACCATTGTAAAAATCTTCCAAACCAGAAGGTTAGGCTTGAGAAATGAGACACTGGTGTTGGCAAGTTCAGAGATATTTTTTCAACTTTATACAACAGTTCATCTGTGCCTATATAAATGGCAGAGAAAGTAATACACTGAAATAGATACTGATGGCCTGATACTGAAAGAGGCCAAAAACTAAGGAAAATTTAGACGGTCCTGATTAAGCAGTTTTATTTGTTGAATGCTATGACCACAAGCAAACCAGTTGAACTGAAACTCAGGTAAATACTTTTGCACTAGATTTTGAAATAAACATCATCATCAAAATGGGTGTGCACAAAATATATTGTGAGAATTATTTCATTAAGTATCTATATGACACAGCATTTAATTTTGTGTAAAGGCACTGTATGTTATTAGTTACACAGTATCAAATGAGGAAAAGCCCTCTCAGAGGTTCTCTAGACATTCTAGACATTGCTTTTATGCAAGATCAAGTCAGGCAAGATGATCTAATAGTCTCTTGTAACAATAACATTTAGAAATCTGTGAAAAAGTTTTAATAAAATATAAACGCAAAGATGATCTGGTATTTCTAAGTCTTTTGAGCTTTAACATTTCCCCACACTGCATCTCCCCACCTCACAGTTTTGTGTTTAGATTAAAGTAATTAAAGTTTTTATTTCAGAATTTCTTGTGTATTTAAGCACTTTGGTGACACTGGTTGTCCACTTTCCTGTTGTTATTCTAGAATTCAGTAGCCTACCAGTCACAATTTCCACCATGGCAGTGGTCTAAGTAATTAAGCTTCTCATTCACTATTTGCAAAATTAAATAGAATGTTTAAGATGAAGTATCGGACCATCAAAATTCATCAACTTTATATTTTAAATGAATACTGTATAGATTTTTCCCTAACCCCCCATTTTACAACTTGCATGTTATCTTAAAAACTTGTCCCTTGTCCTTATGGCAGCCTTCCAGTACCTGAAGGGAGCTTACAACAGAAAAGAAGAGAGACTTTTTTCAAGGACATGTACTGACAGGACAAGGGGAAATGGCTTTAGGCTGAAAGAGAATAGGCTTACATTAGGTAGTAAGAAGAAATTCTTTACTGTGAGAGAGGTGAGGCTCTGGAATGGGTTGCCCAGAGGAGTTGTGGATGCCCCACCCCTGGAATCATTCAAGGCCAGGCTGGATGGGCTTTGAGTGGTCAAAGTTGTCTCTGCCCTTGGCAAGGAGGTTGGAACTAGGTGATCTTCAAGATCCCTTCCAACCCAAACCATTCTGTGACTCTGTTAAATAAGAATTCCATTAACTCCTGATGGACATAATGCCCTGACAGGTTAGCTCTAATAAATGAGATACTTTGATTATTATAGTATTTTTGGTATGTCCTGCTAATGCTAAATTTAGACACTACCACTCATTGTATTATTTGCTCCCTATTAATGTAGCCTGTCCTTTTATTCCTGCCAAACAGCACTCATCTACTTGTTCCAAATGAGAACCTTACATATCCAAATTAACTACTATTTCTAGATCATCTCTTCAGAAATATTTCACTCTTTTAATATTTCAGTTTTATTAAACATCACTCATTTTGGTCAAGGAATTATGAACATAATTATGAATTATGTAACACAACAGCAATTTTTCTACTGTAGGCCACCTAAAACTAAAAGTGTAGTTCAGTTACAGAGTGGGTTTGCTTTTTTTTTCTTCCCATTTTTGAAAGATTGTAGTGACTATGTAGAGCTAATACAAAGTTTGGGCATTTGCTTGTGTTTTTTAATTAATTCACAGAATATTCTGCAGTAATAACGAAATGTGTATGTTCAGATGCTATTAATGAACATCAGTTTAAGGATCTACACAAAGAGCTAGACTAAACTAGTTTTCTTTTGCCTTGTATCAACTTAACAGCAATGGAAAGCACTCAAAGACAGTTGTACTTACTTGACTTTTGCATACCTGTTTTACAGACCCAAAGAATTATGTTTAAGCGAGCTGCCAAACCTGGGTTTGGTGCCAGACTCAGTACTCTTAGTTTATCACCAGCTGACCCACTGCTGTAATTCTAATACTCACTTTCTTGCTATACACTCATATTTCCTTACAAATAAGATTCCACAGTCACTGCAACATATCCCCCACTTCCAGGGGTTAAAACATGACTGGAAAAGTCTGTAGCCTACAAAACTACTGCTAATATTCACCTGAGTTTCTACCTGTGCTTATAATCTCCATAAGGCATTGGAATCACTAAATTTTATGGGTATCTGTATCTAAACTTACAATATTCACTGTAGCCTGACACTATCCCAATTGGTTTCCAGCAGAATTCATGCCAGTGGGCACAGTCTGGATCTGATTTGGAGGATGCGATGGAAATAGGGATCGTTAAAAACACCCCATTATCATATGGTCTGGTAGTTGGCTACAGTGCTGTTCTACAAACATGATTTAGTACAGATGTTTCATTTAAACTCTAGGTTTATAAAGGTACACATTTTTTTGGTTTACTCTGATTATAACCACAGTCTACTCCTCCCCGGTAATCAACTGCTAGAATTTGTCAAATGTTGTCATTTAATATGTGGGTCACTTCCAGTGCTGTGTTTGTTGCATGGAATGCTCCACTTCCATAGAAACAGATGTTTTAACTTAACAGCAGAAAGAGCTAAACAAGTGCATGTGAAGGCGCAGTGCAAATAATGTGTTTCATTTCTGTTATTTATAGCTGTCCGCAGCTATCATAATTTTTTTATTTGAAAATTATTAAATCAATTACAAGAAGTTTATTTGCAGATACTGCCAAGAATGATGCATGCTAGGCAACTGCTTCTGGGGAAGTGTCTTCTTCTGGGCCATTGCAGAGGCATTTCAGTGAAGTCAATCCATTTCTGAAAGACTACAGTACAACAGGGTCTGTACACAAGGCCTCAGGTTATACATAGGGAAAAAAATACCCTCTTTAGACCTCCCAGCCCTTCTGGCAGATATGTCAGGTGTTAGGGCAGTGGAGCTAGATTGTACTTAACTCCTCAGCGTATTTGAAGAGGGCAAGACCAGCTGAAATGATGGTTAGCAGGAAGACTCGTGGGAGAGGGCTCTGGTTGGAAAAAGGCTGAGCTGAGAGGATGGGTTTCTTCCTTCTTTCAGTTTTATTTGACTGAAATACATCCCACCCAAACTGGGAACTGTGTTTATATGAAAAACTAGTAATAGTCTTATCTAAAATGCAAGGGGGAAATATTTTTTTGAAACACAGAACTATTTCCACATACCAAAATGAAGAAACAAATCAGCCATCTGTGAAATTCTTTGCTCTTTAAAATCCTACCTGACTAGTTTCAGGTCACTGTAGGAGCCACTGATTTTTATAACAGAAGTGATGTTTGAAAGCGAGCCATACTGCATACTTTCCAAAGCACACAGACAAAATAATTCGTAACAGTGCTGTAATATTCCACATCCAGGGGCAGATCATGTAAAGAGTGAGCTGTGCACAACCAAGGTAAGCACTTAGAGCTGATACTGTCTAACATCACTTCCCAAACAAATCCCATAATTTTTACACTTGAGCCACAGGCAAGCCTGAAAGTACAGGCTAGGTTACTTTAAAAGTTCACTGTGTTCCCTTTCACGCCCACCCAAAATGCCCTGGACGTGTACTCCACCCACCTATCCAGGGGTTTCTGTGCAGTAGTCAGAGCCAGGCCAGATGAGAGAAGTATCTATGTTTGGAAAGCCTCCGCAAATGTGGGACACAAAAGCAGTAAACAAATCAATGGGATACCGACCAAATGTGTTCCACATTTGTGAAAATAACAAAGTTGAGTCAGGAAGAAAGGTTTATGTGTCTTCTCCTCATACAGTCCTTCCCAAGGTACTTTCTTTCAATCCCCCCAAAATTAAATCCAGCCCAGACAGCAGCAATATTTGTGAGTACACAGCACAGATCAAATGCATTACAAAGCCACTGACAGCT